CCAGGCCTCTGGTAGAGGACCCGAGCTCAGAGGATGAAAGAGACCACCCACGGAGGGTGAGAAGGGAATTTTATTTTTTATTTTATATAATTTCATTTGCTTGCACAAACTACAAGGTGTTCTAAAAATACAGTTGAATTAGAGAAATGGAAGGATACAAAAAACAGAATCGACAACCAACTATGTTTTGACAATCAAACGTACACAAAGAACGACAAAGGAAAGCTAATAATGGAACTAACATATGCTTAATGTTAATGTTTTTTTGTGTGCTTGTTAATTTAATAATGGCGACTTGAAAGTCACAAGTTCCAAAGTGTAGGTGCAAGATTTACACTGTTTGAGCCTGAACCACAATATAGCAAGTGCATCCAATCTGGTAGAAAGTAAATGTGATTTCCTTTTTTATACAGTTGTATGAATAGTTTGAGTTATTTTTATCAGCTGATGTTACTCATAATGTTGTAAAAGCAGGTCTATAACTGTTGCAGTTGGTCAACATGATTTTTTTAAAATTATTTTATCAGGTCCAAATAATTTTTTACTATGGATCAGTTTGCTCATTACATCCTAAATTTATTGAATTTCTTTTCGTTTGTGTGACTTAGTTGTCATTTGTACTAACCAACACAGTAACACCTTTCAAACCCATTTAAAACATATTACTCTGAACAGATTACAATGTGGTAAAATCACTTGTTTAAAACTCAAAATTAAAAGCTTTCATGCTTTTACTTTAATTTTGACCCAGACTTAGTCCCACATCTGGTAAATACTAAAAAAAAAAATACTGCAGAGAAGAGAGCAGAACTCAAGAGGATTCTTGAGAGATTGTAAAAAAAATAAAATAAAATAGAAATGGTCAAAGATTTCTCTCTGCCTTCTCCAGTCTTTAGAATGTAATAGAAAACTCATGTCTGGCTCTATTAGTAAATCAGGATTGTACAAATTGTAAAAAGTACCGACTGTGGGAGTAGCAATAATTGTGTCGCAAACGGTTTTGTTAAATTACTGAATAAATGTATTTACATTTTCATTTCACATTTCCCAGTTTCAGTTAAAAATACTGCAAAAAAAAGAAGAAGAAAAAAAACAAAAAAAAAACAGAATTTATGTTAAGGCTCTTTACGGATATTAATCAGGGGAGAAAACGGGCTCTCCTCTTGTGATCATATTACCATCCGAATCCATTTCATATTAATTCCTAATTTTATTTTTCTGCTGATGCTGAGAAATGAAGAAAAGGTTCCTAATTTTGCAATCGGCCCGCAAAGCAGGAAATTTGATCCCTGCGACATTCTCGCCTTTTACCAACTTGGGGGTCCAGTGCATTTAACTAAGCATAATAATTCATTCTGGCTGTCCAGTTGAGGTAAGACAATATCAGGACTCTCGATAGTAAACCTTTCAGGAACTCCTACAAAATATATTGATTGTCTGCACTGCACATTTTGTGGATTTTGTTACACGGGTCATCTGCAAGTCGGAGCTAAGATTTCAAGCGCGTATATTCCCCTGAAAAGTAGCCACTGAGTGCATAATTGTTAATGGAAAGAAAATGGTACATGGTTTTAAATTCTTCATTTAAAATATCTCTAGCTCGTCCAGATCGTATAGTGAGTGAGCATAGGTTTAAGTCTCGGTTGGACTCACTGACTTGGACCACTAACAGAGGAGTCTATTAGATCACAGGAAGCTTTGATCCAAACTACTCCATTGCTGTTCTGGCTGTATTTTTTAGAGTCATTGTCCTGTCGGGAGAGGAACCTCCGTCCCGGCCTCAAGTCTTTTGCAGACTCTAACTGGGGTCTCAAACTTCTGACCTCAAAGGCAGTCTCCTGGAAATTTCCTATGCGACTGTGCTTCAACAAATCCATTAATTTGATCGTTGAACGAATGCTGAGAAGTTTTAACTCTGTGGCATGGCTATAGAACATCTACATGTAGGTACTTTGCCCTACATGTAAGTGTTTGCGACAAGCAGGACTTCATAAATGTCTTTAATCACGCTTGACAGATAGATAAGCCTCCGGTCACTAGGTGGCCGCGGTGTTCAAATTAATCAACAGGCTGCCTGTTCAAGCCAGTAGAAGAAGTAGCCTACACAGACACACAGGTGGTGCTGAGGATACAAGCGAGGATGTTTTGAAGTATATCTGCCTCCATGGAGGAGAGAAGGAGAAGTGAAATGAAAAATGGTGGCAGAGGTTAGTAAAGCAAGTGCGACGGAGCTTTATGGTCAGACTAAGAGGTTTTGTTTTTTCAAATACAAGAATAAAGTTTAAAAGTAAAGAATATTACAAAATACAAAGTCACATTTGAAGACTAGTTTATACTACTAGCATAAATAATAATTGAGAAACACTGCTTTAAAGCAAAGGAGCCACGCCACACTCCCTGTGTTATTTTTTTTTTCTATTTAGTTCACAATAAGTAGACGGTAGTGTCCACAAAAACTCTAATAAAACACATTGAAGATTTTGTTTGCAACACAACAAAATCTGAAAAGGTTTTGCGAGGCATTTCATTTTGTTTTGCTTTTTTTTTAATCAGGTGAGGATATTTGAAAAAGCATTGCTGTGAATGGATGAAAGATCTCAAACTGTTACAGTACAGTGGCAGACGCACAGAAACAGATGGCTGGCAGAGAGTGGTTTCTTGTGCATGACGAATTATTGCATCTGCTGGTGTGATTGTGCAAAGCTCGGGGTCAGTTCATCTCGTCAGGAAACCAGGAGGAACCGTAATCTTGAAAGCGGAGAAACGAAAGCAGAGCCGCCGTCTTTTTATTTTTAAGCAACTCGTCTTTTTTTTCTCTCTTTCTGTAGTCCGGAATCATCCGCACGAGAAGAGGCAAGACGGATCTCCTGCAGGCCTTCGAGGTGACGGCCAGTCTCTAATAACCAGGTGAGGGTGACAATTTGCCAGAATAGAGGCTTAAGATTGTGGCAAAACAGGAATTTGGTCTGAATCCACAGCTAAGACCTGCAGGACGAGCACAGGATGATCTGTTCCGCCGCGCTTTGTCACACCTCCTCACTCGCATCGCAAGATGCCCCAAGGATGACCGGCCAAAGTTACTCAGACGTCACAATGAATAACAAAAACCATCAAAACTCCATCAAAACAAAGTGCTTGCATGGCTCCTTTCCAGACCTGGCTCTGCTCCATTTTCATTTTTAGTGGCATTTCCTAATTAGATGAGAAGCATGTTTTAATATGGATGTCCTCATTGTATTAGAAGGAAAACAGAAACACAAAAATAAAAAGATAGCATCTTTTAGCCTGCAATGCAGCGCAAAAAAAAGAAAAAAAGTTTGCATCCGTCTCTTCTTCTTTTCCAGGCATTCGCAGATGCAACAAAAAAATCAATGCACGAAAAGCACTTCATTCCTGCTAAGTTTCAACCTTCGCTTCCAGTATAATTAAAAGTGGCTTCAACAGACTTTCCAATCCCAATTTTCCCCGTCAGCTTGAGGAAAAGGGCTTCTCTTGGGATTGTTATGGAATCCCTTAAGCAGAGCTCAGGCTGTCTAAACAGAAGGTTGATTTACCCACAACTATACAGTTACGTAAGAAAAATGTTTGCTGTGAATGAGTGCAATGCAGCTGCAAAAAAGAAAACACAAACATAGGGGATGCAAGAGGTAAGATTTTAATTGTTGTAAAATCCCAACTTGATTTGCCAAAGGGAACAGAAAGTAAAGCACAATCTGCTTTTTCTTGCCAATATGTGAATGTAAGTAAACATCTAAAGGGTAATTTATTTTAGTAATTTTTTTTTTTTTTTTTTTGAAAAAAAGTGTAAAACCAACAGTTCTGTTTTCCAGGTAATATGAATAGGACGACTTAAGATCCATAAAAAATTCATCCAAAGCAGAAATGTTATGTTGTGGCTTACGTAGTTATGGATAAGACTTGTAACTTGACAGCTGTCCAGCAGACAGAGACCTACTAGGGAAAACTGCAAAAGATCTTTGCAACAAATGACAGCAACCAAAAGTTTAGTGGAAGGAAAAAAAGGGCGAAGACGCAAGTCAGATAATCCAATTTTTATGAACTCCAAAGTCAGCACAACAGACAACCAGCAAATGTTGAACACTTCCTTTAACCGACAATCTTTCTGGATTTAACGATTTCATTTTTCAGCTTTACTTGGGACAGAGCCACACTACCAGAAGTTCCAATCCCTGATTTAATGACCATGATATCACTGTGCTGGATTGGCTAATAAACTGGTCTGTATGAAACCCGATAGAGGATCCACGTAGCATTGTGAAGAAGATAAATACCAGCTCCAACAGTGCAAATATGCTGAGGGCTGCTAATAAAGCAAACTGGGCTTCCTCATCAACCTCTTCCTCACCAACCTCTACACTGTGGCTGATGACAGTGTACTGAGGCAGCCCCGATTTATTGAACACGTTGTAAAGTAACCACCCTCCACCAGCAGAAATAAATATTTGAAATGTATCACTCTGAGTGCTGAAACTATATAATAACTGTAGTTGTACTTGTAGGATTAAATCTCTGAAATAAATCAACCTTTAGAGTTATTCCAATTCATTAAGACGCCCCTGCGCGTCCTAACCCGGCGAGATGAAGGGTGCAAATCACTTTTACACACCTGAAAGCTGTGCCATCCAACAACCGCCAACACCAGCCGAGAAGACAGAAATTAGCAAATTACCTGTGAGTCACGGCTGCATCCGAGCTTCTGAACCCATTATTTCTGCTCCGTTGCGAGTGTAAGTGTCGTGATCTGTGTTTCTGTGTGTTTATTTTTGAGTTCTTCTGTGTTCAGTCCTGTTTTCCCTGTGTAGTCCTGTTCCCTGAGTCTCTGTCCTCCCTGTTGATTGCTCCCCAGGTGTGTCGTATCCCCCTGATTACCCTGTGTGTATTTAGCCCCACCTGTTATCTGTGTTCGTTGTCAGATCCTCGTCATTTGTAACTGTTTCCCTGTGCCGTCGTGTCCCACCCTCGTCTCACGTCTGTGTCTGTTCCTGCGCTGCCCGTGATTTTCAGTTGTTTCTCCTGGTTTGTCATTAAATTCATCATTTTCACCTTCATCCTGGCTGCCTGCGTCTCATCTCACCTTACCAAACCACGAACCATGACAGTAAGGGACTCTCCAGCTGTGTTTTAAAGCAGCACGGGGCATAAGGGGGGAGGAGGGGGGAGACTCAGGAACGACCAAAAAAGCATTAATAAGAAAACAGAGGCAAAGTGCGTCACAGAGTTCACGGGTGACAACAGGACTCCTGCCGTCACACGCTAGGAGCTGGGAAAGTGGAACACCGGAGTGTAACGCGGAGAAAAGACGAAACTGCTGGAGCAGGTGTAATAAAACCGGATTGCAGACAAATGCCTCACTCCTGCATTCCACTGATATGTTGCAAGGCAGTGACTACACCAACCTTATTAATCATTACGGGCAGGAATTCCATAAAGTGTCATGCAGGTCGACCTACGCCGACCTGCATGAGCTCATAGTCTAGTGTCACGTTGCACTTTCGTATGTTTTCGACTGCAACAAGCAATGCCCCGCTGTTGAGCTATTTGCTCTATGTGAACCTGACTTTTTAGCTGCATTTATTATGTATGAGGGGGTTAAAAGGGGTCCATGAGAAGATTATAAAAGCTTAACATTTTGATGAGATTAATCTAGCCATCAATCTCTGCATGCATAGAGTAGCCAACCAATTGTAATAAGTCTGTAAATGATTAAATACCATTTCTATCTGTATGGCTGTTTGCTCCAAAAGCATCAACTGGAAGCAAAGTTATGCCTGTGCCGTCCTCCGTGGGGTAATTTATATCACGACGGTGTCATTTGTTGCTGCTGCTGCTGCTGGTGGGGTCTGGGAGTGGGCAGGCCGCAACTATCAATGCAGTCTCAGTAAGAAGATGGAGTGTCACTGTGGGGAACAGGAAGGGAGTGGATGTCAGTAGCCTGAAGAGAGAGATCTGACATCTCAGCTCCCACTGTCTGTCACTCTGTCTTCCAGATGATGTATGGACTTTGAATGGCACCACTCACCCAGCAGAGTCAGTCGATACCACCATGCTGGGGAATGCCGAGGAGAGACAATAGGAGGCTCTGACCCTTGTTATGGAATGACAAACCTCTGCGAGGGAGGTTGGGGAAGGTACAGAGCTGAGAAAAAAGAAACAGGGGGTCTGTTTCTTTTATAAGTACATTACCCAAAGCTGAATGACACACCCATATCATAAGAGACGATGAAAAGTGGTAACGCAATAACAAGAATGAGATAGGATTTTGGCGATATTGTTGGGGAGGATGAAGAATCTTCCATTACTCTGGATTTAAATAATCTGTAGTGAATGTGGGATAATTAAGTCCAGGTTTGACTCATTTACGGGGGTTTAAGCTTAATTTTTTAAAGGTGGGCCAACAGCTTCTTTCTGGTTTCAGAAACGGAATAAAGGTCAAGACGTAGGTTGTGTTTTAAAGTCTCTGATCGGTGCATAGTTATGTAGATCAGGTTTGATAAATTAAATATCTTAGACTTGCACTAAAGTTTATCAAATGCTATTCAGACGCATTTAAAATCTGTTAAATAGCTCCTTAGCTTAAGCCAAGACTGAATCAGGTATGAACTTTAACATTGCTAGTGCCCAGTGGTTACACACAGGGCTGCACAATACATCACAATTTTAATCGACGTCACAATATCACTGTGCACCACATAATGCATGCACTCAAGCTCTCTACTAATTTTCTGAGGTTTGCGTTTGCTCTCAACCCGAAGCAGAAAGACATTAACATATTTTAATTATTTATTTCTTTATTTATTCCAAGTCATATCACTATGTCAACATTCTCCAGTATTACTGCATGTTTTTCCTCATCTCATGCAGTCCTAGCTGCATGCACTGATTAAAAAGTCACAAAACCTTTTTTTCTTTCCCCTCGCTGTCTCATGTTAAGTGAAAGACTTAATTTTATCAGTTTGAGATCAGTAAGAATTACCAAAAATGTCCAAATAATAATAATCAATAAGACATTTTTATAATTTTCTTCAAATTAAGACTTTTTGACACAGATCACTACCTTTTTCCTATAAACCAGTAGCATGCGATGTTGCCATAGCTTTATAAACCTTTAATTGCTTAATTCAGACCATTTGATTTGCATACATTTTTGTGCACCTCCACATGACTGGTTCATCCTTGGATACCATTTCCAGATGCCTTAAGGTGTCACATCCATCTGCTCTAACAATTAAAAAAAAAAGTCCAGCCGTCTGTGAAGATGATGGCTGAAGCTTGTAAGAGGTTGTCATTTTTCATAGTCCTGGAACCCCATAGAGCGAAAGGCCGCTCGGGTAAGAAGCAGCTATTACTCCAAAAGTACACAAAAAATAGTTTACAAATGCACTTGAGGACAAAGACGTTAACTCACATGCTCAGTGGACATATGAAACTAAATTTAAAGTATTTTCCCCCACAGTGACCATTTGCTATATTGGGAGCAAAAATTGGGAATTTATTTTAAAAATAAAATAAATTTATTTGACTCGTTTGTCATGTAGTTTGGTGACTCTTATTCTGCCGCCAAAGCAGTTACCAAACGTCTGAACGACAACAAATGTCACTATGTTGGTGTCGCATTCGAAAACTTCTGATCTCAGACCAAAAGAAATTTTGTGGGCAAACATGGCTTAGCTATACCAGTTCCGCAGTTCTTCAAGTTTCAAGTTTTCAGAAGACACATCTAACAAATACTTAATAAAACATAAAACCAGCAACTAATTTACACCCCTGAGCCTCTCTTCCACATATACTCTCATTTAAATAGATTTTGCACTCCATGCACAAAAGTCCTGAAAACTGTGTCTGTAAATTCATCACATAAGACAATCTAGCCACTACCAAGCATCCCTGAGTAGGCACGCGAGATGAAAAATAAAGCCCCGCCCGGCCCCACTCACCCTCACCACTGCTTGGTTTCTAGCTCCTCACCCGCGGGGCTCCGTTGCAGCCTGCATGCCAGTGCCGTTATCTGCTGCTTATTATTTGGCTGAATGAGCTGGAGCGGAGCTCACGGGCTCGTCTCTGACATAATGACTGATTACAGTTTTGCAGCTCCTATCAGGAAAAAATAAAAAATAAAAAATCCCCACAGTCGCCACCGCGGCTCAGCGTCGCAAGCCAGATTCCTGTAAAACGGTGACCGTGGAGAACGGCAGTAGGAGGGGAAGCGGGGGAAGAATATGTGGTCATTTCAAGTGACAGCATAACCACTACCCAGTTCTCAAGCTGTCATGAGTGACAGAGACCCTCGTGGGCACCTGGCTCATCAACCTGTTTGTCATGTAGTTTGGTAACAAGCAATGCCTAAATGGGAAATCTTTATATAGCTCACAGCGGAAGAACTCCGTCCACCCATTGTCTTTACCCGCTTATCCCTGTGGGGTTGGTGCCCATCTTAGCAATCACTGGTAGAGTTCACCCTGGACTGGCTGCTAGTCAATCACAGGGCAACACAGAGACACAGAGGACAAACAGTGAAATACATGTCAGTGCCAGATGTCAGAGTTTCTTGTAAGCGCTAAGCAGGAGCCAACTTTACCATTGGACCATTGGATTCCATGATTTTCTGTTTCCTTGAGGTTATAACGTTACAGGGAGCCTTACCATTCAGTCAACCACGAGCAAAACCTTTTAGTGATTCCAAAACATCAACAAGGCCTAAAACTAGAACTGTGTTCAGATGAGGTGAAGCCTTTGTCCTCTCTGTAGGTCTCAACAATCAATTAAAA